AATCCTATGTTATATAGAATTCCATGAACAGCATTTTGCTTCTCTGTTTCTTCTTTCACTTGTCCCCTGTTTTTTCACTTTGCACCCGACATTTAAAGATGTTGCAGAATCCTTGATGTCTCTATTGATACTAGCCATAAAAACACGTTTTTTGATTTTTCAAATTTTGATTTAGATATTTAAATTTTAAATGTTAAATCCGTGGAACAAATAATTAAGTACTGGGACCGGTAGTAGGACACATTACCTAACCACCCAACCACATCCTCACAAATTCACAATCCAAAACCAGTCATGGCGGAGCCACCGCACACTCCAAATATGTTCGAGGAACAACAGATTTCATGTCTCAACAAGAAGGTGATATGTAGAAAAAAAAAGAAAAAAAAAAAAGGCCGAATGCCCAAATTTACCTTCAAAATTATTTTGCAGCAGCGATAAAGAAAGAGTTTAACCATTTTTAATTTCACATTGCGGAATATTAAGAAGATTGATAATTAATGAGTCAATGTCTGCTTAAAATATATTCCACAAGACAGAAAACTTGGCAATTAACGTCAAAATCTTCCACTGCCAAGTCAATCCTCCACTAAGAATACAACATCATCATAACAAAGCAAAATAAAGACATGTAAAGAATTTACCAAAAAAATAAAAAAAGAAAAGGAGAATTCGCGGAAATTAAGATGAAAAAGCACTTAGAAGAAGCACCTGGTTTGGCTAGCTTGCCAACTAATTCTATATATACCCTACAAAGCTGCTAGCTCTACCGCACAATTTAATTTTCAGAAAACGAGAAAATAGATATAGCTAGCTAGATGGGCCTCAAGTACTGGTTATGTGCGGTACTTACTCTACTATTAATACAATGTTGGTGCTGCGGTGGTTGTATGGAGCAAGAGAGAACTGCTCTCTTGCAACTCAAAATATTTTTTAATGGTCGACCTTTGAGAGATTGGGGGAGAGAAGATCACAATTCAGATTGTTGTCAATGGGAAAGGGTGGAGTGCAACCCCTCCACTGGACGTGTTATTGCACTCTATCTTAATTACACAAGGGCTGGATTATATTATAGCCGTCCTTACTGGTATTTGAATACCTCTTTGTTTCTTCCATTTGAGGAATTGAAAGGTCTTTACTTGCCTAAGAATAGGATAGCCGGTTGCATTGAAAATGAAGGTTCTTTTTCTGCTTTAATATCAACTCAATTTTGTGATTATATATTAACGCATATTTCAATATGTATGTTAGTAATTAATTCTCTTGATTTGTTTGTAGGTTTTGATACGCTTTCTGAGAAATTGAGCAATTTGGAAATTCTTGATTTGAGTTATAATTTCTTCGATAATAGCATTTTGTCATCTCTGAGTGAGATTTCATCTCTCAAGTCTCTAAATTTGGGCTGGAACAACATAAATGCATCAAACAATATAGATGGTATAGTTTTAATTTGATTATATATATATATAGTTCGCAAGAGAGGTAGAGATGATATTCATTAGTTTAATTAGTGACATCAATATGTTTTGATTGTTAATTTGTGGCAACTGATGAATTTTGAAAAGTTGTCAACACCTTGCAATTTGGAATTTCTCAATATGTCAGTTTAAAAATATTGATCAATAATTCCCGTGCAAACTGTTTGCAGGTTTCTATAGGCTTTCAAAGAAGTTAAGAAATTTACAAATTCTTGACTTGAGTTGCGGCTTCTTCAATAATAGCATATTGTTATCTTTGAGTGAACTTTCATCTCTCAAATCTCTAACTCTAGCTCAGAATAACTTCAAAATATCAAACCAAATGAATGGTACAGTTTTAACTTGATGCTATATAGTTAGAAAAAAATGAAGAGGTTGTATTATATTATTGATTATGACATTGGTCTTTTGCAGCAATTGATTTTGAAAAGCTATCAAGACTTCGCAAATTGGAATTTCTTGATATAAGGGGTAATGACTTACAAAACAACACCTTATCCTATCTAGGTAACCTTTCATCTTTAAAAACCCTAATTATATCCAGATGTGGAGTAAAAGGCATTGTTAACACTCGAGGTAAGCTTACTTTTTACCATCTTTCTCAAAAAAAAAAAAAAAGCTTACTTTTTGCCATTTTTCTTTTTAATTTGTTATTTTTTTCCTTAAAAAAAATGTGTTATCTTGATTTATTAGATCAACCTTCAATATATTTTTTTATTATTTTTAATTTTTATGGTGTACTAAAATAGGATTGAGTAAGCTGATAAACTTGAAGAAATTAGACATGAGCCAAAATGAAATTGAAAGCCTTGAACCTTCCCAAGGTACATATATATTTGGTTTTCCAATTTTATGGTTAATAAATAGTCATAAGATCAATCGTAACAAGAAAACATACTGTTTTACAGAAGAACAACAAAGTTTTGAGGTTTCTTCATCTAGAGATCCTTGATTTAAATGATAATTTCTTCAACAATAATGTGCTATCTTTTGTCAATAAATTCTCAAATTTAAAGTCTTTGGATATAACATATAACAAAATAAAAGGATTGGTAGATGTTACAAATAAGTTTAGACCTCCATTAATTCTCTTTTTCTCACTAATACTTTGAAAGCAAGGATCTCTTATGAGAGATCTAATCAACTTTAATTTTTTGTGGTTCTCCTAGAATTCAATGCTTTGAGCAACTTAGAAGAGCTAGATATAAGCTACAACATGCTCAACCAATTTGTGGCTACCACTAAAGGTATTAATTCAATGAAATTGTGACTATGTTATTCACTTCACCTTTGTTGATAAAACTATTTACTCTTTAATTAATTACATGTTTCTATTAGATTGGAATTGATCTTCATTTTCTTTTCACCCACAGCCAATATAAGTTTCAACAAGTTAAAGTCCCTTGATCTAGGTGGTTATTATTATGACTACGAGGATGATTATTATCAATACAAGGATAGTGGTGTTCAACTACAGCAGCTATCTCTAGTGGCATTCCCATTGCTAAAAACCCTATCTTTATCCAAAAACAATATTAGCAAAACCATGCTTAATCAAAGTAAGTGACACATGTCATTCTATGATCCTAGTTTTGCTTTCCTTTTGAAATAATTTTCTTAATATCTATGCATTTGCTATCCTTTTGAAATAAGTTTCTTATATCTATGAAATATGATTATCATTTTACAGATCTGCATGTTTTGAGCAATCTAGAGGAGCTCTTCTTATACAACTCCCATCTTGATAATAACTTTCTGCAAAGCATTGGTATGCTCGCTTCTCTCAAGTCAGTAGTTTTGGATGAATGTGGGCTAACTGGTACATTACCAACACAAGGTTGGTGTGATTTGAAGAACCTTAAAAATTTGAGACTTCATGGAAATGAATTGTCAGGGAATCTGCCTTCTTGCTTGGCTAATTTGACATCTCTTCGATTTTTGGATATCTCCCAAAATCAATTCACTGGAAATATTGCCTCCTCCCCCCTAGCTCATCTTACATTGCTACAATATCTCTCTATTTCAAACAATCACTTTCAAGTTCCAGATTCATTCAAGTCATTTGCAAACCATTCTAACTTGAAATTCTTCTCAAGTGATTTCAATCATTTAGTCTCAGAAAATGATCTTGTTCAAACAAGGGTTTCTAAGTTCCAACCAAGTGTCTTCAGCTTATCAAATTGTGGAGTAGAAGAACACCTCATCAAACCTCATAGCTTCCTTTATTACCAGTATGACTTGGAATTTGTTGATCTTTCTTTTAACAAATTTGGCGGAGCCTTACCTTGTTGGTTGTTTGAAAACAATACGAGATTACAAGGTTTTCTTATGAAGAATAACTCTTTTGTGGGTCCTTTCCACTTGCCATCACACCTTAGCCTTGATGTTTCAAGAATAGATATATCGAACAACCAAATACATGGTCAAATCCCATCAAATATCAATTTGATTTTCCCATTTGTAGAGAAATTATTGTTGTCTGGAAATGCCCTTGAAGGCGAAATTCCCAAGTGGTTGGGTGGGATGAACTCTTTACAAATTTTGGACCTATCCAACAATCAATTCTCTGGTTCAATACCAAACCAGTTAACTATGGGAAACTCATTATATTGTCTCAAACTTTCAAATAACAACCTTAGTGGGAAAATAACTGCAACCATATTTAACTCACAATCACTTCAATACTTGTATCTAAATGGAAACAATTTCAAAAGAGAGATATCTCAGTTTTCTAGCTCTTCATTTCTAAAAGTATTGGACATCAGCAACAACCATTTGTCAGGCAAGCTTCCAAGGTGGATAAGGAATCTCACTCAATTGAATAGCTTGGTTTTATCCAACAATTCTTTTGAGGGTTCAATTCCAAATGAATTTTGCTATAATGTTGCGCTTCAATTTTTAGACCTTTCTAAGAACAATCTCTCTGGTTCTTTACCATCTTGCCCTAATCCATCATACATAACACATCTCTATTTGAGCAAAAATAGGCTAAATGGTCTGTTGACACATTCATTCTACAACATATCTTCTTTGGTGGTACTAGATCTAAGAGAAAACAACTTCATTGGAGGCATTCCAAAATGGATTGGCAACTTTTCTAAGTTGAGTATTTTGCTGCTAAAAGGTAATCACTTTTATGGTGAAATTCCCATTGAAGTATGTGGAATAAAACAACTAAGCATGATCGATCTATCTCATAATCAACTTTCTGGTTCTATACCTTCTTGTTTGGGTCATTTAACTCTTACACCAAGTACTTCAATGTCTCTTTTCAGCAGTACTTATATGATCATGCTTGAAACTTTTTATGAACTTCAAATTATTCCATTCTCAACCTGGGAAGTGGAAACACTGATAAAGGCAGAGGGAGAAGAAGTTGTAATGTCATGTTTTAGAACTCAATTTGGTTTTGTAGAAGATGAGGTAGAGTTTACAACAAAGAGGTTCACATACACTTATGGAAGTCATATTCTTCAATACATGTCTGCAATTGATCTCTCCTGCAACAAACTAACAGGCCTAATCCCATCTGAATTGGGAAACATGAGTGAAATCCAATCACTAAACTTGTCTCACAACAACTTAACAGGACCTATACCATCCACCTTCTCAAATTTGAAGCAGATTGAGAGTTTGGACCTTTCTTTCAATAACTTGAATGCTGAGATTCCATCTCAACTTATTGAACTCAACTCCTTGGAAGTTTTCAGTGTTGCACACAACAACCTTTCAGGCACTATCCCATATGGAAGAGCACAGTTTGGGACCTTTGACAAAAGCAGTTATGAGGGAAATTCCCTTCTTTGTGGACCCCCATTGGATAAAAGTTGTAAGGAAACTGATTCACAATTAAGGCCGCTAGAATCCTTAGATGAAGAAAAAGAATACAGCTCCATAAATATGCATATGTTCTACATCAGCTTCGTTGTATCTTATGTGATTGTGTTGCTATCAATTATAGTAGTGTTGTACATAAATCCATATTGGCGACGGGCATGGTTTTATTTAGCTGAAAGGTGTGTCACCAAATTGCTACTATATTGTGGACAAGTTTTCGAGATTCTAGTACTGTATTTCTTGTCTGTGTAGATGTATCCTCCTAGTGAAAGTTTTCAATCTATGCAATTTCAATTTCCAAAAGTTACTAGTACTTAATTCATGACTTTTACTTTTCCTAATCCATAAGTTTGCTTTATCTCCTGGCTTCAATTGTAAAATTCTAATATTTTGTTTACTTTAATCGGATATATAGTCCTACAAGTAGGACACTTGTATCATATATTCAATAAATAAATCAATCTTGTTTAACAGAATTCCATTAATAGCATTTGGCATCTGTGTTTCTTCTATCAGTTGTCCCTTATTTTCTTCACTTTGCACCCCAACGGTTATGTAAGGTTAAAGATGTTGCAGAATCATTGATGACTCTGCTCTACTGATACTTGCCATAAAAACACATCTTTCTTCTCCCCCAAAATGATTTAAAGTGAAAAGGTTGTCTTTAATGTAGAAGTTTCATGGTCTTGTTTATTCTTAATTGATTAATGAATTTTGGAGTTATCCATTGCCCAATATTGTATTCAAAGAGGGAAACCTTAACCTTCAATTCAATCGAACAATTTAAACCTTACCAGAAAAACATTTTTAAATCAATGTTTTTTTCGTAGTAAAACAGAATCGAGTCTTGATGAACATATTATAAGTTAGGCCCAAACAGTAAGCAGTGTTCACACTTTCATTGCTTGTAAGGTTTGATCCCATTACATCACAACTGTTGGCTAAAAACAGATGGCTACCACCTTCTCCCCAAGGTAGGTGTATATTCAACGTTAAAAAGGAACAGAACTTTCTTGCATCAAGAAAAAGTGAAATTAAATTGAAAACCATATGTGGGAGACTAAGTTTTCATTTTTGTTTTTGTTTTCTGAGAAAGTGTAAAGTTTCATTAATAGCTAAACTTCATTAATAAAAAACAACATAGCTAGATGCAAGGAAACACTAGGGTTGTTCATCAATAATAGTTTATACATTTGTAACTCCTTGATGGAGTTGCTGAAATATCATACAAACTGTTTGGACCACAATGGAGTAAAATTGCAACTTCTCACGAGACTTAGAAATGTCAATACGTATTGATCTTTTTCCATAAAATGATTGAAAGTGAAAAGGTCATCTTTTTTGCAGAACTTTTGATGCACCAAATATGCACTACTCTTAAGCAAGTGAATTTAATCGATTATGTAGTATAAGATGAGTAAAATATTGTACCCTTAAAAACTATTCTAAATTACCAAAATGATGTTAATGGAACAAAGTTAAACTACTTAAAATTTTCTAAGTAAAAGAAACTATGAATGGAAAGGAACTAAGGTTTAGATTTCATTTAATTCTGAATTATGCAACTGTTTAATTAATCTAATTCAAGTTCAAAGAACAATGTTATCGCATGAGGTATTGGATTTCCCTCAATTAATTGACTAACTTTCTCAAATAAGTTAATCCTTTATTTACTTGTTAAATTAATCATATGTCTATGTAATTTAAAACAAACTAGTGGGTATTAAATTCTGTGGAAATCCCTAACTTAAGAAGGGAGAGTTCCTAACTCTTTTTTCTTCCTTTATTTCTACATGTGACATTAATTACCTTTCGGTCTCATAATCTAATACACAATTTATATTATTATTGATCTAATTTATGCAGTTTTTTTTCAAGTTCACGCATAAATCACTACATCAATTGAAATGTGATTAAGCTTTCAATGCATTAAATTCAATAACATAAATTCATCATGCC